TTCGACTAAAAATAATGTTGCCAGATTTTGATGCCAAATTGATCTAGAGGCCAAACCATGAACAAAACGCCAAACCTTATGAAAATCGGATGAGATTTGACTTAGTTATGGGGGTGGGAAATTTGGACCTATGTCTATATAGGATATTTGAGGGAACTATTTTCACATGAATTTCGACCAAAAATAATGTTGCCAGATTTTGATGCCAAATTGATTAAGAGGCCAAACCATGAACAAAAAGCCAAACCTTATGAAAATCGAATGAGATTTGACTGAGTTATGGGGGTGGGAAATTTGGACCTATGTCTATATAGGATATTTGAGGGAACTATTTTCACATGAATTTCGACCAAGAACAATGTTGCCAGATTTTGATGCCAAATTGATCAAGAGGCCAAACTATGAACAAAAAGCCAAACCTTATGAAAATCGAGATAAGATTTGACTGAGTTATGGGGGTGGGAAATTTGGACCTATGTCTATATAGGATATTTGAGGGAACTATTTTCACATGAATTTCGACCAAAAATAATGTTGCCAGATTTTGATGCCAAATTGATTAAGAGGCCAAACTATGAACAAAAAGCCAAACCTTATGAAAATCGAATGAGATTTGACTTAGTTATGGGGGTGGGAAATTTGGACCTATGTCTATATAGGATATTTGAGGGAACTATTTTCACATGAATTTCGACCAAAAATAATGTTGCCAGATTTTGATGCCAAATTGATCTAGAGGCTAAACTGTGAACAAAACGCCAAACCTTATGAAAATCGGATAAGATTTGACCGAGTTATGGGGGTGGGAAATTTGGACCTATGTCTATATAGGATATTTGAGGGAACTATTTTCACATGAATTTCGACTAAAAATAATGTTGCCAGATTTTGATGCCAAATTGATCTAGAGGCTTAACTATGAACAAAACGCCAAACCTTATGAAAATCGGATAAGATTTGACCGAGTTATGGGGGTGGGAAATTTGGACCTATGTCTATATAGGATATTTGAGGGAACTATTTTCACATGAATTTCGACTAAAAATAATGTTGCCAGATTTTGATGCCAAATTGATTAGAGGCCAAACCATGAACAAAACGCCAAACCTTATGCAAATCGAATGAGGACTTGATGGGTGAAGCTTAGTTATGGGGGTGGGAAATTTGGACCTATGTCTATATAGGATATTTGAGGGAACTATTTTCACATGAATTTCGACCAAAAATAATGTTGCCAGATTTTGATGCCAAATTGATCTAAGAGGCCAAACTATGAACAAAAAGCCAAACCTTATGAAAATCGGATAAGATTTGACCGAGTTATGGGGGTGGGAAATTTGGACCTATGTCTATATAGGATATTTGAGGGAACTATTTTCACATGAATTTCGACTAAAAATAATGTTGCCAGATTTTGATGCCAAATTGATCAAGAGGCCAAACCATGAACAAAACGCCAAACCTTATGAAAATCGAATGAGATTTGACCGAGTTATGGGGGTGGGAAATTTGGACCTATGTCTATATAGGATATTTGAGGGAACTATTTTCACATGAATTTCGACCAAAAATAATGTTGCCAGATTTTGATGCCAAATTGATTAAGAGGCCAAACCATGAACAAAACAGCCAAACCTTATGAAAATCGAATGAGATTTGACTTAGTTATGGGGGTGGGAAATTTGGACCTATGTCTATATAGGATATTTGAGGGAACTATTTTCACATGAATTTCGACTAAAAATAATGTTGCCAGATTTTGATGCCAAATTGATCTAGAGGCTTAACTGAGCAAATAACGCCAAACCTTATGAAAATCGGATAAGATTTGACTGAGTTATGGGGGTGGGAAATTTGGACCTATGTCTATATAGGATATTTGAGGGAACTATTTTCACATGAATTTCGACTAAAAATAATGTTGCCAGATTTTGATGCCAAATTGATCTAGAGGCCAAACCATGAACAAAACACCAAACCTTATGAAAATCGGATAAGATTTGACCGAGTTATGGGGGTGGGAAATTTGGACCTATGTCTATATAGGATATTTGAGGGAACTATTTTCACATGAATTTCGACCAAAAATAATGTTGCCAGATTTTGATGCCAAATTGATCTAGAGGCTAAACTATGAACAAAACACCAAACCTTATGAAAATCGGATAAGATTTGACCGAGTTATGGGGGTGGGAAATTTGGACCTATGTCTATATAGGATATTTGAGGGAACTATTTTCACATGAATTTCGACTAAAAATAATGTTGCCAGATTTTGATGCCAAATTGATTAAGAGGCCAAACCATGAACAAAAAGCCAAACCTTATGAAAATCGAATGAGATTTGACTTAGTTATGTGGGGCATGGGAAATTTTGGACCATATGTCTATATCTATATAGGATATTTGAGGGAACAATTTTCCCATGAATTTTGCGCAAGAACAATGTTGCCAGATTTTGATGCCAAATTGATCTAGAGGCTAAACTATGAACAAAACACCAAACCTTATGAAAATCGGATAAGATTTGACCGAGTTATGGGGGTGGGAAATTTGGACCTATGTCTATATAGGATATTTGAGGGAACTATTTTCACATGAAATTCGACTAAAAATAATGTTGCCAGATTTTGATGCCAAATTTATTAAGAGGCCAAACCATGAACAAAAAGCCAAACCTTACGAAAATCGAATGAGATTTGACTTAGTTATGGGGGTGGGAAATTTTGACCTATGTCTATATAGGATATTTGAGGGAACTATTTTCACATGAATTTCGACTAAAAATAATGTTGCCGGTTTTTAATGCCAAATTGATCTAGAGGCTTAACTGTGAACAAAACGCCAAACCTTATGAAAATCGGATAAGATTTGACCGAGTTATGGGAGTGGGAAATTTGGACCTATGTCTATATAGGATATTTGTGGGAACTATTTTCACATGAATTTCGACTAAAAATAATGTTGCCAGATTTTGATGCCAAATTGATCAAGAGGCCAAACCATAAACAAGAATCAAAACCTTATGAAAATCGGATAAGATTTGACCGAGTTATGGGGGTGGGAAATTTGGACCTATGTCTATATAGGATATTTGAAGGAACTATTTTCACATGAATTGCGACCAAAAATAATGTTGCCAGATTTTGATGCCAAATTGATCAAGAGGCCAAACCATGAACAAAAAGCCAAACCTTTTGAAAATCGAATGAGATTTGACTTAGTTATGGAGGTGGGAAAGTTGGACCTATGTCTATATAGGATATTTGAGGGAATTATTTTCACATTTTGGCGAGTTTTCCACCAGTTGATCACCAATCAGTCAGTCAGTTAGTCGATTAAAGATTAATCTTCACTCCATTCCAGCACGTACCTTAAACTTTACTCAACCACCTTTCAGCTAATTGCCGTCGAGCACATTAAACATAATTCTTGCTAAAGTTTGGCTTCACTTTCAACCAACTATAGACAAGTTGTGGCCTCTGTTTCCCTTCGTAGCTGTTGGCAAATTTATCCAAAAAAGTTTGTGACGCTGGCTCATAAATTTCAGATGTTCGGCATAACCATAAGTTCCCACTTTCCAAGTGCCGCATCGCTTAAAGCCCCGCACAAAGCACAAATCCAAAAACTCATTACCGTAATTAAGAATTATTCAAAGAGGGAGGGGGAAGGGGGGGTAAGCCTAATGCGGCAATAGACAAAATTGTTGTAGAGCAAGGCACGGCGCCTGTGGTTGGTTGGACAGGACATTCAAAACAACCAATATTAAAATTGATTTTTGGCCAAAAACCTACCAAAAGTTGTCTAATGCGCATCGTTCTCATTAAGGTCAATTGGCTGGACCAGCGAAGAGCTGCGGCAGCGAATTGGAGGATTTCGAGTAAGTCCAGAGAGCTCTTATGTTGTATATTGAGTCGGTAAAATATCGTGTATATGTAGGTAGTATATCAAATGCCAGTTGCATACGGCAGGGGAAAACCACTTAATAAATTGTTGTGCAGGGTAATGACAATTGGATTATAATTATGAGTTAACATCGATAAAAATTGCATTTAAATTCGTTCGCTCACTTTTATCGGGTTAATAAAAATGTACCATTATGGTTCATTATTATTGTTGTTGTTGTTGTGCCTTAATTTATTTTGAAAACTAAAGTGACATTTACAGGCAATTATTGAACAGTTTAATTGCATGACAGGCCATTGAACTGTGCACACCATGTACAAGAGCCAATCGTCCGTCCACACACACACACACACACACGCATCATTTATATATAAACATATTAGTTGAGAAAACCTCGCTACAGAACCGCAAAGTAGCACTTCAGGCTGCGCTTCTGCCATACTCGCATAGCTGCCAGCTATGGCCGAGTCTACGGGCGCGCTCAGCTTTTGTCTGCCTTCGCTCCGCAATGGCGGCCGCCATTATGTTGTTAATATCTGCATGCAACGGCAGAGCGGCCACAGCCACGCCCACAGTGGCGGCCATCGCTTTATAGAGTTGGCTTTTGTTCGCAGTGCCGTTGCGGCAACCGCATTGAAATTAACTTTAGTGCCATTTAAAGTTATGCGCTTCATAAATTGCAAAAACAGTTTCAATTAAAATGCGGCCATCATAAAAAGGAAATGCTGTCGACTCGCACAGCTCCTGCAAATGCGTTGTTCTCGTTGTTGTTGCAGCGTTGTTGTTGCTGCGTTGTTGCTGCAGATAGAAACAAAAGGCAACATCATCGGCAGCCGCCCAACGCCCTGGCCAATAATGCAACCAGGCAGAGGCGTCGATTCTTCATATTGCCAGGGGCTCAATTCAAGCTCAGCTTCCATCTGCTGCAGCTATTGTCTTTTTATTTCGCCCACCTTTACACCTGTATATAGTACATATATCTATTTGTAATTGGTTTAGCTCTGTACAGTACCCCCTTGTGGATTGTTGCATCTGCTGCCTACACTTCGCACACAGCAGGCTCGCTTGTATGCCTCAGTCGGTCGTCATGATAATTTGAATGCAACGCATTTAATTGCAAACTCTCGTTAATTATTATTGAACAATTTTAAAAATGCACAGCTTTAACATTTTACGGCACCTGTAATCTAGCTAGCGCCTTCCAAAACCAGCCCCAACCTATGCCTTTGCATTGTTTACTTATCGGCGCCTTCCAAGTTAACCAAAGCGCCGGCGGCTTTTTCGCATTTCGGTACTATTTCCTGGTTATCGGTCACGAAATTGTGTGCTTTCCATATCCTTGCCGATTGTTCTTGTTCTTCCTGTTGTTGTTTCATGGCATCGCTCCCGGCGCTTGAGTCGATAAAATACGAGCAAGTTCAGTGGGTAAATTCGTTTAACTTGTTCTAGTTAAGGGTCGCGTAAATTTATTGAATTTCACAATGTGGCAGCACATAGCATGGCCCAAAACTTTAGGGAAGGATGCGAGGTGAGAGGGCTGTTAAGATCTTAAAAACTTTACTTAACTTACCAAAGAGCTTTACAGAAATTTAAATCGTGCAAATGCTCGATGCCCCAACTTAACCTTTCAGGGTAATCGATATACTATGCGCATATTTTGTCAATTACTTTTTAAGTTGTACAGCTTGTTAATTAAATCAGAAATATTTCAATATTTTTAATTAATTCAATATTTAACTCTCAGTATTCGGAATTTTTCTCCACTAAAAAATCATCCGTGCCCACATCATATAACTTACCTTGCCCCCACATTACATTCTTCGTTAGCGCCAGCTGATGAACTTCAATCACGGGAAGCATTCACGTTATAAAGCGTTTGACGCGATCTATATATACCACATATAAAATTTACTAACTACCCTAGCAAAGAAATCTTTTGACTTTTAAGATATCTTGACCTTATCACCTTATTCAGGTACTAAAATTAGAAAACAGGAATTTCTTCGTTTTTAAATATTTTTAAATTTATTTATTTATTTGAAAGCTACATGAGCTAATGATCGGATCTGAGAGACTAACTTACAAACTATTCATACCGATACTCACCGAGTATGTGTCTCAATGTCTATATATATCTATAAAAGAAAGCTAGATTGCTTGTAACGGCAGCTCCTTGTTGTGCTCAGTATATCCTTTTGAGGACACTCTCTATCTTTAACTTCTAATCTAAAGGATTGTCAATCTTTATATCTAGTTATGAAACACAACATACGATTAGCAGAGTTCGACCTTATTGTAATTAATATGATTGTGGCTTGAGAAAAAGTTCTTAAAGAATATATTATACTGTAGGGTATTCGTCCGACCGACCTTTGCTATTTTTTTTTCATTTCTTGTGCACTTTGAAAAAATTAAATTTACAGTTAATCAGACATGGCCACAAATGCGTTATAAGCAAACAGCGAAATGAATAAAAAACCTGGCCAACGAGGTGGACAGTGGGCTCCGGATGGTGGGTTGTCTGCGGGGAGATGGGGAAATGGGGCGGTTATCGATAGGGAGCAATGCGCGCTTTTTGCGACGCATCTGCCGGCTTCTGTATCCGTTGGCGCGCTCCCGCCACAGCCCCTCTTTCGGGCTGCACATCCTCAGGCACATTGAAAGTCATAATTGCCATGGAGGCTGCCTATGAAATAAATCAAGGATAATGCTGCGCGGAATTAAAAATTAAACGAAGTGCGCCATTTACTTTTGCACACGGCATCGATCCTGGAGCTGGGCCCGGGCCTCCTCATATTGCATACATCGTGCGTGTGCGTGTGTCTGTGCATTGCCGATTTTTATAGACGCTTTTTATTGCGCATTTCCATTGATGTTGAAATTTTCGCCAATTTTTTTTTATTTTTCCCGCCCGCTTCGTGTGTTTTTCGCTGAACATTTTTTCCATGCCGCGCTGATTTTATTTGAATGAAAATTGGCGAATTGTATGATAGACGTCGGTGTGGGTGTGCCAATATGGGCGTGGCGCAGCGTATGCGTAATATTTTACTGACTGATAGGGCCCCGTGGGGAAGGTGCAAGGAATATGCTGGCGTCCTGTCATTGTGTGCATTGAATTGAATGGCGAGAACCGAAGGGCGCGTAGCGTGGGGAGCCGGGGGACAAACATTTGCTTGGATGCGCATCTGTTCAAGTGGCTGATTATATTTAAACTGGTGGATTGGAGAGCTTACCCATCGAAGAAGGATGCACTGGAATAGACGGGTAACGAAAGCAAAAACATTCGCAAGGAGTCCACACATCAATTCTCTATATCAAATCGAACGAGTTCTCGCAAAACGCTGACACAGCTCAAGTTCAATCCAATTCTGGCGCTGTCCTGTCCTCCATATGCCACTTAAAAGTTGCGAATGGCCATTTGCAAGCGTTGCCCGCATCTCAATTTATAACACAGCAAATTTGTGGGTAAGATAAATTTGTCAAAGCGAGCAAACAAATAACTTAAAGGACACACGAACCACTCGCTCCCAGTGCTCCCCACGGTATCCACCCATACACGGTGCCCGTGCCCGTGCCCGTGCCCTGCTCGGCTGTATCATTTATGCCAAATGACCCTCATTATTTTGTCTTATTACCAAAATAAATTGAGTTGGGCTTAAAAATTGTGTAGCTCATAGCGCAGGGAGATAGTGTCATGTGTAGAAGCAAATGGCAAATTGGTAGGCCTTGAAGAGGCCCGGAAAACTGTAGCCAAGCTTTGTGGGCCAAAATTAAATATTAAAGTTGTTGTAAAATTGTCCTGAAATTGAAATCAAATTGAATTCACCTGGATGGGAGCGCCCCGTAGAGCCGCATTGTAAATCCATCAGGCCAGCTGTCAAAACGGCGCTCCCGCAGAAATGCCACACCACACCTCCCACTTCCACTCGCCGGGCACGAGGCACAAGGCAGGCACTTTAATTGCTGTTGCCATTGCCTTTGTAAAGTGGCAGAAATGCTAAATCAAATATTGACAAAAGTAAGTAATATTTTTGCCTCCTTGAGCTACTTGCACTGTCTCTTTTTCGCCTGCTGCCGCTGCTGCTGGCGCTAGCAAGTAAATTCGATTAGACGCCTCGCCTCGAGACATTTAAAAAGGCCTTGTGCCAAATTGAATTAAAAATGCATCATGAAAAGGCCGAAGATTTGATTAATAGCGCCTACAAGCGGACAGCAGAAAGGGAATGAAAAGTGTCACGGAAAAAGGTCCTCGGAATAAATGGCTCGCCAGGCAGGTCGTCCTGGACAAGACAACCAATCTTAAAATGGTTCTCAACTCTGGTCCATTGACAAACGGCAGCACCCTCGAGCCCAAACAGCAGCCTATCAGTTGGCTAATGAAGCCATTCCACGACGAGTCTAAACTTCCAGAAACTTGAGCTTCACGCACGTCCTTACGTGGTTAGTAGCGAAGGCGTCTCGTAAAAGTCAACAGCCATATGGTAAGGTAACAAAATATAACAAGCACTCCTCGCATAAGGTCCTCCGAATTGCCAGCGCCAGCTACCCCTTGCGACACATTACCGTTACTATTACCCGTTCCTGTCGTTGGTCCTGGTTGGCAGGAGGCGTGCTCCTCAGCCGTAAAAATAAAAAAATGTGTATATATATTTCAATTAGTTGCGTTTATTTTTTCTGTGTTCGACTCGAATGCGACCATAAAATGTCTCTGGAGTGGGTTCTAGTTCATTTATTCGAGTCCCTCGTAAATTATGCCGAGGCAATCGTAAATAATTTAGACTTGTAATAGGTTTTTTCACGACAAGCAGATGTTCCCGTTGATCTGGAATGCTCATAAAAAACGAATGTCGCAAGAGCATGTAGGAAAATGTGGAATGGAAATGATAGGTGCTCAGCACATGGCATAAAGATATCCAGCAGATAACAAACTATTCAAATCACATTTCATATCGAATTTGCCAGCACATTAAGCGCATTATAAGCCTATATATTTTACGGAGCCCCACCCCACCCATAATGTTGCTTCCTCCCACAAGCATGCCGGCTAAATCCGTCAAAGCAGTGCAAATAAAATCAAATCGAATTATTATTCGGGTATCTGCCGGACAGACTAATGTCGTATCCATACATATACATTATACTATAACCTGGCAATTGGAAACGGGCGTTGGCCAACTGGCAACTGGTGCAGGTTGGAAATTCATTTTGTGTGCATTGAAAATTCGCAGCAAATAAATTCAATTTGTGCGCTTAGATAAAAAATCCTTAGCCCAAGCCCAATCAATCGAGCGACTGACAACATTTTGATATGCCCAAAACAAATTGAATTTGCCGCAACAGAAAAGCGTCATAGTTATGTATCAAATCCCAGCTCCCTCTCGCTCCTTGCCACGCCTTCCCTGCACGCTGCCTTTAGGTTGGCAACCGCCCAGAAACCATGCCCAGAAACCATGGCGGTTCCATGTCTGGACAGCGTCTAGGCCACATAGTTCCGATTGCCAGGCATTGGCTAAGCCAATTTTATGCAGAATTGCCTGAGAAATTGAAAATCAAAATGTTGTCGGTTTTCTCAGCTTTTTATTTTTATTAGTTTGTCCTGTTTTGTTTTCGGGTCTTACGACACTAATATCATTATTTTCGTGATGTTCACTGCGCTTCGGTGATGAAAGTAAATAGAAAACACGCCAATATATACATAATAAAAAATATAACCCCGAACCACATAAACTTGGGCGTGTGCGGCAAATAAACCTGGAGTAGGGCACAATTTGGGGATGCTCTGGTTCTCAGCATTGAAATCACCCAGTAGTGAATTCGCTGTGAATTTGCTGTGACTAGCCTCGAGAATATATATATTATTGATTCAGCAATAATAGACAAGCCCAAGTATAAGTCCAAAATATACTTATATCTTTTCGAGTGTTAGAAAGTAAATCTATAATCTTTTCATTTCGAATTTTATTTGAGAATAATTTTATTTTGTTCCTTTAATTATTATTATTATTATTATTACTATTATTATTATTATGATTATTATTATTATTATTATTATTATTATTATTATTAATGTTTTAATTATTATGTGTTTTATTCCCAGTCCTAGAATGCAGCTTTCGGCCATTCTTCCAGTCTTGTTTATAATTTATATAGGCTGTATATTTCCTACTGGGTAGTTGGCCGTCTCTCTCTCTGTGATTCAAGCTACTTCTGACTTTACTGCAATAGGCAGTAGGCAATTTCAGTTACGGCAGTCAGCAAAATAAAATGATTTCTCTTGGAGGCTGTGCGTCGCGCTTGCTAAAGGAGAAATATCATAAAATACGTAACGACGATTTGCCTGCCATCTACAGGAACGTTTTTTCTTTCTGTCTATCTATCTATCAGTAGTCCCACATGCGTGTCCTGTAGCAGGCATAGTCCTAGTTCCCGTTCCCGTTCCCGTATTGGCCGTTCCGTTTGATTTTTTTTTGTTGTTTTTGTATTTTCTGTTTTTGCATGCTCAGGCAGTCGACAGATAGAATTTTAGCTTTGTGTAAAAGTTTTTTCCCAGCCGCCCCCTACTACTCATCCCCAGCGAAGCGCATAAATGCCGTTGACAATGGACGCGGCATGTGCGGACGTGGGAGACAGGGCTGGAGATGCGGTGGAGCAGCATCAGCAACAGTGGGAAAATTCCATCTATCAACAAATCAGCTGCCAAATTCTTGTTGACGCGTGTAGCCGTTGACAATGGCGTTTCCCGCTTCCTGCGGCCCGCTCCCGATTTCCCAGCTCCCAGTTCTCCGGCTTCCGATTCCTGCTGGTTATGCAATATCATCGCTTCGCCTCTCCCTCTCGCATCGCGCTGCGCTGTGTCCTGTCTCACATAAACTGCTGACGCATGCGGCTAGCAAAAAGGAAGCACTGAAACAAAGGCCAAATAGCGATTGGCGAAATCAAATAAAATTGTTAAATTGAATAAAAATCGTGAGCTGAAAAACAGAAAATATTTGTGCATTTAATGCAATTGACGGCCAGCAGGCAGCGAGGAGTGGGCAGCCATTTTGGAGAGTT